GCCGACCCAACTACACCACCACGCGCATGCCTCGCGGCGGATATGCGCAGCAGCAAGAAGGTTTCGGTCATCCCTTGAGGGTGAGTCTAGCCCTGCTCGCCAGAAAGACCCCCCCCTTCACTACAACCCATGTCTAAGCAAAAGCTTGTCGAGGAGCGAGGGGAAGAAGGGAGAGGTAGTACCGCAGATATTTCCACAAAAGCGCAGGTAAGACACGTCCTGACAAGAGATCCGATGCCACTGTGCGCCGACTGCTGCTGCTGAGTGTGGTCCTCAGTCAGTTAGATTTATGCTGTGGTCCTCAGTCAGTCTGCGAGACCAAAAACGTGATTGTGCAACCCTACAACAGCAGTAAGTAGTCCTGTGGATAGTGCACGTCGTGATGAGGTTAATCTCTTGGAAGATGTGTGGCCTGTATGTTAGGGGCAAGAGGAAAACATGGGATGCGCCTATGGGGTTGTGAGCACAATTAGTCCGGAAGAGACAAACAAATATGCTAACTACTGATTCTGACTGTCGGCCACAATAAGCATGATCAGTCTGGAAGAGACAATAGAATATGCTGACTACTGACTGCGGTGAGTGGTCTACAGACTAACGCATATTATTCCTGTGGTCCACAGTAGAAAATTGAGTTTTGTACACACAACAAATCCTCATGAGGTTAAATACTTCAGTGCTGGTTAATGCCCTCTACCTTCGAGCACTGCCTTTTGCCTTGCCTTGGTCAGTGAGCGGCGATCGGTGAAAGTTTGAGGCATGTTTCACTCATTATGAACAGGGCTGCGCCCATAGTCGTCGACTTTCGTGCATGATTCTGTACGAACCGTGGACGTGCATCCTTCCCGTCATGGGTGCGGTTGTACTTGCGACCAGTGGGGGTAAAACTGGGGGTGGTGATGAGGGAGGGGTGGTTCGGTTGCTCGCGCACGGGGGAGATCTACGAATGAGACATACAACAACGGACGCGTTCTCACAAGCTATCACAGAAACGTTAGCACGAAACTCGCTGGAGGGGCCGAACGGGCCCGGAGGGACACCTCTCCCAACCCATACGAAAATCTGTTGTTGCAGTCTCGAGAAAAATCGACCGAATAAAAACAGCTTGCTTTTAGAGACGAGACCGGAGATCGCCTATTCAGCCTAAAACCAAGTGAAATGCAGAAAGTGGGGTCACCTTGTGGTGGGGTAAAAAAAGTGGGGTCGTTTTCGAAAATAGGTTTTGAAAATATCGGCGACAGGAACTGAATCCCTAGACTATCGGGCTTCAGAATTTGTGCCGGACAGGGGAAGACTCCCCATTGGGTGCAGCAACTCCGAGCACGCTAGCGGTCCAAATGTATAAGGCCGCATAGTTGCACAGCAGTGTTTGGCCTACCTTGTACCGGGAACCCGGCACCTTCAATGCGGTGAAGATTAAATACCCCATCGTCTCCCGCCTGGTTTGCATGACGACGGGCCTCATCACGGCGGCAAAATACAGGGACGGACCACAATTATTACTGCTGTAGCGGGTATCGCGTTCGTACCTCGTGCATTCCGACGTCTCATGTTTCGAACCGTCAGCATTTGTCCGCATCAACCCCCGCCTCCGACATCGCCCTACAATACGCAGAGGTTGATTTCAGATTCGTTCAACTGCTGTGCGGTAGGATTTCTGTCTCCACGCCCCTACACGCATCCGCAAGGTAGGTATTACCCAGGCGTGTTGGAAAGACAAAGATAGCGATCACTGCTGTTGTCTTCTACCCTCGTGTCACATGCTTCGCGACCGTAGCATTAACGCAGAGAGAGGGAGAGACAGACCCGCGCACGCTTAGCCCAGAGATGGTGTTTACAAATACCCAAGACAACGATCAAAATCACACCAAAGCTTTGAATCCCGGAGGTGCTTCGAGAATATCCCATGTTCGGGAATGCCCCCCCCCCCCCCCCCCCCCCCCCCCCCCCCCCCCCCCCCCCCCCCCCCCCCCCCCCCCCCCCCC